GGAATTCATGGTTGATTAATTAAGTGTTTAATAACCAAGACAGTAGAGCAATCCTAGCTATCAGCACCCTCAATCCAAGTAAGCAGGACAGATAATACTGGAAATTCAACAAGAAGGGGGTCTTCTCAGTCTCCAGTACTTACTCATTCCTATCTCAACAAAAACTGCTATCCCTTGACATTCCTTCTAGCAGTTCTATGGTTGGTCCACCTTTCACAAAACTTAAACAGAGGTTTTGGAAACTGAAGGTGGTATCTAAAGTGAAGCTCTTCATTTGGAAATGTATCACTGGTGCTCTTCCTGCTAAAACTAATCCTCAGAAGGGAGGTATGAGCTTAGATGTTTTATGCAGTATTTGTGGAGAACAATCTGAAACAATGAACCACATTCTCTTCACTTGCTCCAGAGCTGCTGAACCGTGGAGTCTTTCCCCTGTAACGTGGAGTTATCTTCCTGCTCTTGGAGATTCTTTCAACTGCTGGTGGTACCATATTTGCTCACTTGGTGATTCAGACATATCAGAGGCAAGAATTCAACTCACAACGTACATTCTCTGGTGGCTCTGGAAATCACGCAACATTAGCATATTTGAAAACAACCTGCTCCCCATTCATGTCACTCTTAAAGCTGCTCATAATGACTGGATGGAATTCTCTCAATTGGTTAGCTAGTTTTATTGTAGTTTAGGCTTTTGATCCTTTGGTTGCTTTTCTTCCTTTTGTCTTTCATTTTCTTTTCCACCTCTAAGCCTCTGGGCAGTGTAGTGTGTGTTTGTTGTTTGTAGTGTTTGGCTAGTTTGTTGTTTGAGGTTCTAGGCCGCTTCATGCGTGTCCTCTCAATTTTCTTTTCTTTTTCGGGTTTGGCCTGTACTATTCGAACTTGGTTCGCGGTTTGAGTTATAATATCTTTATCGTTTTGTAAAAAAAAAAANTATCTATTTTGTTTGCCAAAAAAAAAACATATATAGTATTAAATACATTTAAGAAAAATAAAAATAGAAATTGCTGGAATAAACAGCTGCGCTTACGTAGTGTTTGGTTCGAGAAAAACTGAGGGGAGGGGAATGGAGGGGAGGGAATTTTATAATTTTTCTCTTGTTTGGTTCAATTATTTGGAGGAGAAGGAATTGGGATTTTCCCTTCAAATCCCCCCTCCAAGGGAAAATCTTCTCCCCTCCAAAAGTGGGGGAATTTGGAGGGTAGGGAAAATTTTTAACAACAAAAATACTATTTTGACCTTATTATGAAATTATTTTATTTTTTGTTTCTTACATCATTAAGGGTATAACTGTCATTTTTACAATATTTTCTTTTTCTTCCATTTTTCTAACCAAACAAGATTTATCATTTTCCCTCCACCAACCTTCTACAAAATCCCTCCAAACAAGGTAAATTATTTTACATTACCTCCCCTCTCCTCACCTCCCTTCCATTAAAATTCCTCCCCACCCTTTCCCTCCCTTTCCCTTAAGTTAACCAAACATACCCTTAGGGTCAGTTTGGTTGGCATGATATTGCTTGATATCCTTCCATTTGTTAATATTTCATATCAATTAATGTGTTTGGTTTGTTCATTGGCAGCCCTTGAAATGTGCAAAGCCCGATTCATATATACCCAAAATTGTGATACCACATCCGGCCCCAAAGGAGGGATATGTGTTCGTTCCACTTCTGTCATGTTTTTCTTCTTTATTTCATGCTTGTTTTTCCCCTACTTAGATATTTTTCTTTGGTTTTTGGCCCGTTTCGAGTCGTTCCGTGCATTTCCTTTGTTTTAGTCGTTTTTGGTCTTTTTGTTCGTTTTTTCCCAATTTTTCGTATTTCTTGTCGGTGGTGATGTGCAGGTTTGGTGGCTCGGTGCATGGCCATGCGAGGTTTACCGTCTAGATGGATGAGTTGGGGTCGTATTGGAGAAGACAGGATTAAATTCCGAGTCCGGATGCGAGAACACGAACCCGAAATCACGACGTGCAGAAATCCTTCACCGCGGCCGCGGAGAAGAGGAAGTCGCGGCCGCGAGATGCCCGAAAATTCGTGTTTCTGGCCCGTCGAACTCGCGGCCTCGGAGAAGGTCGCGGCCGCGAGATTTTCTTCGCCGCGGCCGCGGGAGGCTAGGTCGCGGCCGCGGGGGTCGCGACGGGCAGTTTTTTATTTTGCGATTTTATTCAGTTTTTGATTATCTTTTTCACCTAGGTTTTGAACCTCTCTCGTTTTTATTCACTCCAAAACAGATATTTCTCTTAGTTTTGATGAGGATTTGATCTTGGATTGTGAAAACATCAAGATTAAGCTTTTGGATTCGGTTATTCATGTTTTCAACATTGGATTCCTTAATCGTAAGCTTTCATTTCGTTTCCTTATTGATTGAATGGCTTTGATTATTGTATTTGTTGAAGTTGAATGCATTATGAGTAGCTAAATCCTTTAGCTAGGGTTAGGGGAAGATCGTTCCGGTTTGATTTCGTTTATATGCATGATAATTGCTCAATCCTCTCGAGTTGTGCTTAGCCTAGGGTTTTGATGATTGATCACCATCTTAATCTATTTAATCGATTTTAAAACTGAAAAGGGAGAAATCGTTCGATCTAGGCTCGTTAGGAATAAGCTTGTTCGTAATAGTATTGCTTATGTGTTGATTGTTTCAAGAATTACTCGTTAATGCCTATCCTCTTGTTACGAAGAGTTATTGAGGATACATCTCTAGATGAGTAGTTTAGCGAGGCATTTAACCGAGCTCTTGATTGCTCGTTAAGTGTATTGAGAACCGGAATTGATCGACCCTGATACCCTAGCTCCTTTATCATAAATTGAGTTTGAGTATTGAGTTGTGAACTCGTGATTCCTAGTTTTGTCTAGCCCTTTTTAATTACTTGCTTTTCAATTAGTAGTCGATAAACGAACCTCCAAACTTGATTTAGAATGTTTAGGATTTTCACTTCTTTTATTTTCCATTTTTGTGTTTGAATAATCGTACAAAATAATTCGGCTGACCTTCCTCGAGAGACACGACCCGTTGTCGAATCTTTTGATTCTACTCCGGTAAAAATTATTACAACAATATGTAATCAAGCTTTTTTGTTCTTTGATTTTTCATATATATCCTCAGCAAAAGCATTCAAAGAACTGAAAAAATCTATCTTAATTTCACAGAATTTGGAGCCCCAAATTACACAATGAAATTGGAAGAATACGTATAAAAAAAAATCACAAAATTAACTCATTCAACAAACACATGGTCCACCACCAAATTAACAGCTCTCGTCGGATCCACAGTCCACCAATTCGACAGATCTATTGTCCTTTAAGTTTCCCCAGCCAGATCCTTCGTCCTTCAAAGTCCAGATCCACCGTCCTTCAAGTTGCTGCCAGTGAATTTGCTGAGGAAGAAGGCAGCATCGCCGACGAATGCAGAGGCTCGGTGCCCCTAACAACAAAAATTCGAGACGAGAATATTATCAATTTGAGATGAGAATAACAACAGAAATTCCCGCCTGTGGCGGCGGCGGCGCCACCACCGTCGAAAGACGAGCTCCACAATTCGGGGGAGAATAATGCGGTGTCCATGGCCTCACGTGAGAAAATAGAGTCAAGTTTTCCTTATTTTTCTTCTCTTTATTCAACCTGTAGGAGAATTTGTGTAATTGATATGATTTTTCACAATTTTCGATATCTAATTTTCTCCAGAATGTTTCAAGAATTTTTGGAAATTGATGAAAAGTTTATACACATCTTTTTCATATTGATGGTAATATTTGCAAATTTAATTCAAATCGAAGGGTAAAAATGTAATAGTATGTTATTATCAACTTCAACCAAACATGTTAATGTTCTTGATATAATTACAGACATAAAGTTAATAACAACAATTGAACTCTTGGAATTAAGAAAAGAAAAAAGCTCCCACGAAGGAAAACCTAATTCCGCAATTTCCGCCGCTCGTCGCCCTCCTTAGCTGCTCCGACATCTGCCTTCCTCGGCGAAATCGTAGATCCGACCGGCGGTAGCCCTCGGCGGCTCGTTCCTCCTCTCTGATTTCGCGCGTCTCTGGCGGCTTGGTGGCTTCTCCGTTCGGGATGGTGGCTACTCCGGTGGTCGTCTCCTTCTCTGGTTGCGGTGGTGACTATTCCAGCGGTCTCCCTCGGCGGCTGCCCTTGGTGGCTGCTCCGGTGGTCCTCCCTCCTCTGTTCGCTCTGGTGGCGGCAGAGTTGCGGTCGGACTCCCGTTCTCCCGGTGAGGTGACGCGGTTCCGGTTGAAGGCTTCCTGGAGCTGCCGAGTTGTTGTTGGATGGGTGAATTGGAGAGAGGGGCGAGGCTCAGGCTACTCGTGGCCCTCGCGCCGGGGTGGTTTGAGCGGGGGGCCGACTTACTCTTCTCTCCCCGGTTCTCTTTTGGGTTCGGGGGAGCCGATGTAGTGGTACTCGGCTAGTGGTGTTAGGCGGGTGGTGCGGTGTTGGTATTGGCTACTGGTGTTAGCCGATTGAGGAGTGTCGACTCTCTCTGGCTGAGGACGGGTCTTTATTGGTGTTTGGTTTCGGTTTTGGTATCGGCTTCAGATAGGCGTTAGGCAGTGTAGGTTGCAGGTACCGGGCCTTCGGATCTCTCCCTGATATCGATCGTTCATCTGCTGGTCTGACTCGATCTTTCTGCTGAGGAAGGGCCCTCTAGTTGGTTTTTAGGTGTTTTGTTTTAGTGTTTTTTTTATGTGATTGTGTCCGTGTCTTTGTGTTTTTGGTTTGAGCCGTTGGCCTCTGTGTGCCTGAGTGTCAANGTTCTAGGCGGTCTTTTGGACTTGTCCTCCCACTTTTTCAGCTATTGGCTGCGTGTATTCAGTTGTTGGCTGTCTGTATTCAGCTGGTGACTGCTCTCTGTATTTTGTTCGTTTTTTTATAATATCTCTATCGTTCTGGCTAAAAAAAAAACAATAGAAATTAATCATGGTCAATCCATTATTGTAACCAAATTCACCCTTAAAAAATATCCCGACTACTGTGAGCCAAGATTCTGGATGCTTCTCATAAACCCCGTATCTCTAAAGACGTATATACCCCGGCGTCTCCTTCAAACTTACGCCGTCTAGTGCGCTGTATCCATTCGTTTTTGCAGGGGCAACTATGTCCAAATTAACAACTCTTTTCTTTCTCCCCAAGCCCCAAACCCCCTCCTAAAACCCTCTTCTCCTCATTTCTCCACCGCCACCCACTCCTTTCGCCGCCGCGATTTTACCGGTTTGATTTTTTATTTTTACTTTTTAATTTCATTTGGGAACTTTCACCTCGGGCATCCACAACCATGTCCCTGAGCAAAATAACAAGTCGGGTCTCGAGGACCGTGTTGACTCAGTGTCGCAACTCAGCGCTCCTTCTCGGCCGCCATGAAAGCTATCTCTTGCAAAATGCATCCAATAGATTAGTTTCCTCGCGTGGGCTAAGTGATAAGGTACTGTTTTGGGTGTTGAAGATAGGGTTTTCATGGGCTTTGGACCGTTTTGGGGAGGGATATTTCTATCTTCTTTTATTTCATAGATTTATTTCTTGTTAGACTGATTGATATGTTATGGGGACTGATTGGTTTTTGAGGTAGATTGCGGTTAGGCAGTTTCAGCTATCTGACTTTGTTATATATGCACTCACTAGAGTCTTTCACTGGAGTAATAATCTTTTATTGAGTGTTTAATCATTTGTAACGAGTGATCTCATTAGTTGTTTTTCTGCATCCTAGGTGCTTTCCTTTTTATGATATATGAGCTTTTCAGCATTTTAAAACTGAAAGGTTCTGACAACTATTTTCATATGTTTTGTGATGAATTTTTAGCTTATTTCAGTAAGGTGAAAGAGAACGTTTGCATATTTCTTCAGGTAGACTGTAAAATGTTACTTGGGATGCTTCGTAAATGAACGGATTTTATGATAGTTTTGCTTCGTACTTGATTATTCTTACGTCCTGATACCGCAAACAGGGGAATTCACTGGGTTCCATTTACCTTCTATGTTTCGGATTCTTATAAGTAGGCATCTAGTTTGTTTACAACCTTACATTGTAATTCTTCTCAATATCTAAATATCTCATTCTATTGTTTGAATCGTGTATTGAAGTGGAAGCTTGTCTTATTGTGTTATTCCCAAAGTAAACTAAAGAGTATTTTGTATGAAATTCTGCTGCCATTTTGCTGTTTTGAATTAGCTTAAATTTGTACGTTTTCTATTGTTTCCATTTAGGTGGTTCCTGGTCAGGTGTCATTGCTACACCATTCATCACTGAAATCTTCAGGCTTTCAGGGTTTTGGGTTCTCTTCCTCTGCAACTTCACAGTCTACAAACGAACAGGAAAATAAAGAGACAAGCAATGAAGCTGCTGCTGATGATAATAATACACCTCAAACTGAAGTGGACGAGTCAGATCCACACATTAGTACGTCCCGGACTCCTAAAAGGAAAAGAGGTGCTAAACGAGTTGCGTTTTCTGATTCTGATTCTGATACAGATTTGGAATCTGACCTGTCGAGAGATGACCTGGTGAAGCTCGTGTCTGAGAAGGATCGGCTTTTGACTGTAAAGCAGGAAGAGCTGAAGCAGGTGAAGGATACAGCCATGCGTGCATTGGCTGAGATGGAAAATACAAAGGAGCGTACTAGACGCGAAGCTGAAAGTGCCAAGAAGTTTGCTATTCAGGTTTTGTGTATTGTTTTCCCCCCACATTTTTTGGTTTTTGTTTTTTAATTACCAAACAGGTTTACACTAGTCTATTTTATATATATATATATATTTTGTTATTGTAAGAAAGTGACATTCATTTAAAAAGTTTACTGTGGCTCCTGATATTTTCCTGTTTACCAATTGCACCCTCAAGAAGGTGGGTTATGTAAAAATAGATCTCAAGAGGGTGCTTATCAAATTTCAAGGGGGTATTTGTAACTTTGAGAGATAAGCAGAGTAATAGTAGTTGTTGTAACTTTGGGACATTCTTTCACTGTCCTGTTTGACGTGTGATGCAGAATTTTGCTAAAAGCCTTTTGGATGTGGCGGATAACTTGGGTCGGGCTTCTTCAGCTGCAAAAGAGAGTTTCTCAAAAGTTGATGTGTCTAAGGATGCATCTGGAGCCACTCAACAACTCAAAACACTCCTCGAAGGTGTTGAAATGACTGAAAAACAACTGAATGAGGTACTATAGTTTATGGATTCCTCCTTGTCCTATCATATTTCTTGTGTCTGCCATTAGTTAAATATTTCATTTGATGTGACTTGAGTAATTTATGGTGCTTGAGTTGATTATCTGGCATGTCTTGCTGCTAAATATGGTAATTGTGACCTTATTTATAAGGCATAGATAAATATTTAGGGGATCAGCATGTAATAATTAGACTGTTTTTGCACAAGTGATTGGCCTTTGTTCCTGCTCAACAAAGATTTGAAGAAGGTAAACATTTTAATGAATTACTATTCGAATCATCACNATACATATATATTTCTAACTAACCAACTCATTAATTAATTACATAAAACAAAAACAAAAAACAAAAACATAAAAAAAAAAAAAAAAAAAAAAAAAAAAAAAAAAATTGTTGAAATTATATTGAGAGTATCAGCAATATATATGAATAGCTAAATATCTGAGGAAAAAGCTTATGAATTAAGCTTGATCCTGATTTCATCTGTAACTATAATTATAGATTGTAACTTGATGCATTTTTGTTCTTCCCATATGCAGGTATTTAGAAAGTTTGGGCTAGAGAAATATGAACCCATTGATGAAGAATTTGATCCGAACAGGCATAATGCCGTGTTCCAAGTCCCAGCTGCCTCCAAGCCAGCTGATCGAGTTGCAGTTGTTCTAAAGGTATCTGAAGGAATAGGAAAAAATAAAAAAATAAAAAAACTTTTGAAGAAAGATGTATGAATACACTATTAATGACATTTTACACGTCCTTTTGCATACTTTTAGCTTCAGTAAATGAAAATTTTTATATAGTTCGTGCTTCGGTTCATTTTCAGGCTGGATACATTCTGCACGACCGAGTTATAAGGCCAGCTGAAGTTGGTGTGACGGTGGTGGCAAACAATGAGGAAGGTGAAAAGGTGTCTTCTGAGGACTGAGGCAGTATCAACTCTATATACTTGTGTATTGTGATGGTTTGATTTTGGGGGATTAAATGTATCTTATTAAGGTATATTCTTAATTTATGCGTTTTGGCTAGGGAGGATTGTAACAAGGAGCAACTTTATACCTTTTTTTTTTTGGTCTGATCTGTTTATTGTTCCCTTTCAATGGATCATTTCAGAAAGATTCATGCAATTGAAAATTTTGTGGATGTTTCAGGTTAATTTGATCTATTGATGGCCCCTTGAAGTAAAGTCTATTAAATTATTACTAAAAAAGTTTTGACCTTGTAAGTGGCAACATAAATAGCGTGGTGTGGGTTGTGTCATGTCCATTTGATGGTTATTTAGAAGGAATGTTCTTCCATAGTCATTTTCATTTGAAAAATTCATTCAGGTACCTAAAAGAATATTCTTGAAATATTATTTTTTATATCATTTTCATTTGAAAAACTCATTTAGATACGTAAAAGAATATTCTCGAAATATTCTCTTGTATATCGATTTTAGAATTTTTCAATAATATTTATATAATTTATAACTTACAAATTAAATTACAAATCTAAAAGAATATTCTTGAAATGTTCTCTTTTATATCATTTTTATTTGAAAAACTCATTCAGGTACGTAAAAGAATATTTTCGAAATATTCTCTTGTATATCGACTTTAGAATTTTTCAATAATATTTATATATTTTATAACTTACAAATTAAATTATAATTTTATTTTAAATTCGCTTTAGAATTTATGTCATAAAATTAATTATGAAGTTACTATTCATTTACATATTATAAATAAATATTTATTAAAAGTTTGTAATTACAATGCATAAGATGAAAAATAAAAATACATTGAAATGAACATAAAATAATTATTATACAAGCAAAAGATACAGTCCTCAAAGTTTCGGAATTGATAAATTTCTTCCACAAATGATCAATTAGAGTATTACAAAATGTAATGTGATCATCTTTATTTCTATTTTTTTTTTGTACCATTATAAAATCCTGAAATCGATTGCTTTCATATATTTTCATTTCGACCTCCGGCAGCGACGTTTTCATCTCAGTTTCGATTGGTGCAGTTAGGTCACGTTCATCCTCGACAATCATGTTATGCAAAGTTGTACATGTGGTAATTATATCATGCAGCATTTATTTTTTCAACAACTACTTGTTCTACTACAATGTCCAAACGTGATTGAAGAACTCCAAATGCACGTTCATGCTTCTTGTTCCATTGCAAAATATCTTTTATTCAGATCACGTGGCTCATGAATTGTTTGCACAATAGTAGACCATTTTGGATATATACTATCAGCTAAATAATAACTCATGTTGTATTTTTTTCCTTGGATTAGAGAATGAGCTGGAGGAGCAATATCTCATTATTGCCTTTGATAATCGATCATCTAACTAGTAGGAAAGATTTCACCGGTGAGTAGNTTATCTCATCTCAACTAACTCATGAGCAAAACAAGAAAACATTACGAGAAGATTATTGTACGTAAATAAAAAAAAAAATGATGAGAGAATAACACAAAATTATAAGGAGATTCACTAAATAATTATATATCTATGAGTTGTCGTTCGATCCAGAATCAAGCTCCCTGTCAATAAATAACAAATTATATTCATGAGAAATCAAGCAAATTAAAACAAACACACTACTCTATAATCAATATGTATATTGGTGCAATTGAATTGGATATATATAGACATCGGTAGTATACAAGTATACAACTTACTTGAATATATCAGCACTGCCAGTATCAACCTGTATATATGGACGTCTTTATATGATTAAAATTGTACCATTAATTAATCAAGACATATTAATTAACTTTAATTCAATAAATGAATATTCTTGCATTCACTTACATCTTTATACCCCAATTTATTATTGCATTTGATACAATAAAGAATGTAATTATTGTCTTCTGCTTCCTCCTTGGTCACGTTTTTCCTGTTATTTTTTCACAAGAATATTCAAACAAATGACATACAAAAAGTAACTGTTGGATCCTTAATCCAACATTGGGCTGATATGTGAAATAATTATTGTATTGTGGTTGTCAAATAAAGAAGCCCAAATAAAAGTGATCAATTAAGTTTTAAAGTTATTGGGCTTTAAAGTATCAATAGGGTGTGGGCCTTTAATGTGTAGAAACTAATGGGTTTTCTCTATTTTAATGATGGGCTAAAATAGAGATGCCCAATGTAAGTTAATAAAGGGTTGTGGTCCCTAGGTCATACGACGTATCGAAATCTATTCTCTTCTGCATCCCATCGACAGAGAGGTTACAGAGAAAACAAAAGGGTCCTCTGACAAGTACATCGATCGTATAGACCTAGAAGGCCAAATCCCCAAATCAATCACCTATGGATTCAGGTACGCTTCCGCTATTTGGTTTCGATTCTCAATTGTTCAATACGAAAGCTCCTGGATTAAAGCGATGGTTTTCGCCTAAAGTTAATTATAACAATTGGTATCAGAGCCATTCGTATTGGATTTTTGAGGAATCAGTTTATTTTTCGATTCGTACGCAATATATTTTATGAGATTGATTGTTGTTCGGATTCGGGAACCTTCAGAGTGTATATGAATGAAGTTTGGATTTATTTCATCATCTGTGCATATGCGTGAAATATTTCGTTCGGATTCATGGGTTATTTTTCGGATATGAGTGTTAGTTGATTCGGTCATCTAACTGGTATAATAAATCATGTGTGATATATATCCTTTTGATATCATTGGGTGATTTTCATTCTGAAAGCATGAAGTCGAATTGAGTGGATTATAGTCAGAATTCATCATCCTTAATGCATGATTTATTTGTGAATCCATCAGACCCCATTCACGTGGTTTTAGATTGGGAATTATTTATCTGAGATATTGAAAGTCATGTGATGATTTTAGTATTTATGGGACCCAGTACAAGTAATTTCCATGTTGTGTTCTTTGGTTCAAGAATTGTTTGAGTATGGTCCAAATTGTTTGATTCGTGATTGATGAATAAGAATTGTGAATAATATGATTTTGGACCATGTTATTATTTGTCTGATCTGAATCAGTTTTTTGGTAAATTAAGGGTTATCTATTTTTGGTCTTAGAATTTTTTAAATGATAAGATTCGAATATTGGTATAAGGTTTTATATATTTTAAGATAAATTTAATTGAAGCGATATGTCGCCAAAGCGACCTCTTTTGTGGAAATTAATTTGTTTTGAAATATAAAAGGGTATGGGTGCATGTAATTCGAGTGAGTATTAACCGGCCCAAAGGAAGGGGAGTACCCATTAGAATTACATGTGCAATTGCGGTAATAAACGTGTGATGATTATTTGGTTATACATGTGAACAATAAGTCGGCCCAAAGGAAGATTTATTGTTTGATATGTTCTTATTATCAATGTTTGATTACTGCATCAAGATGTCAATTACAAGTTAATATTTTGTCCAAAGATAAAATATTAATGGAGTTACGATGTCTTGAGATGGGGTTACCTTTATTTGAATTTATCATTTTGATTCTAAGTAACTTTCATGAGCATAATCAGTTTATTTTTCTTTGATTCAGCTATGTCTACTTCTGCTAATATCACTGCCAGCATCAACTCTATTCCTATGCTAAATGGCTCAAACTTTAAGGCATGGCAAGAGAATCTTTTAATAGTTCTCGGTGTCATGGATCTCGACCTTGCGATAAGGACTGATTCTCCACCTCCTCTTACGGACAACAGTACTTTGGATGAAAAGAGGGATTTTGAAAGGTGGGAGAAATCGAATCGCATGTGTATGATGATCATAAAGAAAGCCATTCCAGAAGCATTCAGGGGCACTATGTCTGAAAATATCATTACTGCTAAGGAATTCCTTGCAGATATTGAGAAAAGGTTTGTCAAGAACGAAAAGGCTGAAATTGGTACGCTTTTGGCAAATCTTATCTCAATGAGGTATGGTGGTAAAGGTAATATTAGGGAATACATTATGGAGATGTCTCATACTGCTTCAAAATTAAGGGCACTTAAGCTTGAACTCTCTGAGGGATTGCTAGTGCATTTGGTTTTGTTATCTCTTCCTGGACAATTTAACCAGTTTAAGGTGAGCTATAACTGTCAGAAGGAGACTTGGTCTCTGAATGAGCTCATCTCATACTGTGTCCAAGAAGAGGAAAGGTTGAAGCAAGATAAGACAGAAAGCTCTAATATTGCCTATACTTCCAAAAATAAGGGCAAGGGAATAAAGAGAAATAAGGATAAGGAAGCTGCAAATACAGTCCCACAAAAGAAACAGCAAGCGACACCTAGTGTGTCTAATGGTGTCAATTCTGACACCACTTCAGGTTGTTTCTTTTGTAAGGCTGAAGGGCATACAAAGAAGCAGTGTGCCAACTACCACGCTTGGCGTGCTAAGAAAGGTATGCTGTTTAATTTGGTTTGTTCTGAGGTTAATTTAACTTCGGTTCCTGGACACACGTGGTGGATAGATTCTGGTGCCACAACTCACATCAGTGTGTCTATGCAGGGTTGCCTCCATTGCCGAAAACCAAGTGATGGTGAAAGATACATCTATGTGGGTGACGGCAAGACAGTTGAAGTTGAAGCAATTGGAAAATTTAGATTATTGTTAAAGACTGGATATTATTTGGATCTTGATGAGACATTTGTTGTTCCGTCTTTTAGACGAAATTTGATTTCTATTTCTGTTTTGGACAAATTCGGTTATTCTTGTTCATTTGGAAGTGGAAAATTCAGTTTGTTTCATGATTCAAAATTGGTTGGTTCTGGTTCTTTATCAGGTTATGATAATCTTTATTTACTGGATACTATTGCTTCATTCAATGAATCTCTGCTTTTAAATACGCGTGGTGTGAAAAGAAAATTAACCGATAAGAATTCAGCTGCGTTGTGGCACAAGAGATTAGGTCATATCTCCAAACGGAGAATAGAGAGACTTGTGTCCGACGAAATTCTCGACCCCTTAGACTTTGCAGATTTTGACATTTGTGTCAACTGTATTAAGGGAAAACAAACCAATAAAAGGAGATTTGAAGCCAACAGGACTTCAGACGTCTTAGAACTTATACATACAGACATTTGTGGGCCATTTCCAACAGTTGCTTGGAATGGTCAACAATATTTTATAACGTTCATAGACGATTATTCAAGATATGGCTTCATATATCTCATTCATGAAAAATCACAGTCATTGGACGTGTTCAAATCCTATAAGGCTGAAGTTGAGAATCAACTCAACAAAAGGATTAAAACTGTTAGATCTGATCGTGGTGGTGAATACTACGGTAGATATGATGGTTCAGGTGAACAACGTCCAGGACCGTTTGCTAAATTCCTAGAGGAATGTGGTATCGTCCCACAGTACACTATGCCGGGTTCGCCCACTATGAATGGTGTTGCTGAAAGACGAAACAGAACGCTTAAGGATATGGTAAGGAGTATGATTAGTCATTCTACCTTGCCACAATCGCTCTGGGGTGAAGCACTAAAGACTGCAACATATATCCTTAATAGAGTTCCAACTAAAGCAACTAATAAGACCCCTTATGAACTTTGGACTGGTAGAAAGCCTAGTCTAAAGCATTTGCACGTTTGGGGGTGTCCAGCTGAGGCTAGGCCATATAGGCCTAATGAAAAGAAACTGGATGCAAGGACTATTAGTTGTTATTTTGTTGGATATTCAGAACGATCAAGAGGGTATAAGTTTTATGATCCCACAAATAAGTCTATTTTTGAGTCTGGAAATGCTCGGTTCTTTGAGGATGTTGAGTTTGCGGGGGGAGATGATGTTAGAGACATTGTCTTTGAAGAGGAATATGTTGATATTCCCACAGGTGTTGTTGGCATTGATCAGGACTATGATCCTATCACTGTTGAGGACACAAATCAGGACAATGTCAGAGAACCTCCTGTTGAACAAATTCTACAACCTCAAGAACCTATGCCATTAAGAAGATCCACTAGAGAAAGAAGAAACGCAATACCAGATGATTATATTGTGTTTCTCCAAGAAAATGAGGTTGACATTGGAATGATGGAAGATGATCCTATCAACTTTCATCAAGCCATGAAAAGTTCAAATTCTCAAAAGTGGATAGATGCCATGAATGAAGAGATAAAGTCTATGAGTGACAATGACGTTTGGGAACTCGTCCCGTTGCCAGAAGGTATGAAACCCATTGGTTGCAAATGGATATTTAAAACCAAGAGGGATTCAAGAGGCAATGTGGAAAGATTTAAAGCTCGTCTTGTTGCAAAAGGCTTTACACAGAAAGAAGGCATTGACTATAAAGAGACTTTCTCTCCAGTTTCTTCGAAAGACTCTTTTAGGATTATAATGGCACTAGTGGCGCATTTTGATCTTGAGTTACATCAGATGGATGTAAAGACTGCGTTTCTCAATGGCGACATTGATGAGACTATTTATATGGTGCAGCCAGAAAACTTTGAGTCCAAAGACTCAGAGAATATGGTTTGCAAACTTAAGAAATCCATCTATGGGCTCAAGCAGGCATCTAGACAATGGTATTTCAAGTTTCATCAAGTGATCATCTCGTTTGGTTTTGAGATGAACTTGGTTGATGATTGTATATACCATAAGTTCTGTGGGAGTAAGTATATATTTCTGGTTTTGTATGTCGATGACATCTTGCTTGCCAGCAACGATATAGGCTTATTGCACGACACCAAGAAATTTCTAGCTAAGTATTTTGAGATGAAAGATCTTGGTGACGCCTCTTTTGTGTTAGGGATAGAAATACACCGAGATCGCTCTCGGGGTACTTTGGGTTTATCACAAAAGGGCTATATCGAAAAGGTTCTCAAAAGGTATGGCATGCAAGACTGCAAACCAGGAGATACCCCTGTTGCTAAGGGAGACAAATTTAGTCTCAAACAGTGCCCTAAGAATGATTTTGAGGAAAAGGAAATACAGAAGATTCCTTATGCTTCGGCGGTAGGAAGTCTTATGTATGCCCAAGTGTGTACGCGTCCGGATATTGCGTACATTGTGGGTGTGCTTGGCAGATATTTGAGCAAGCCGGGATTAGACCATTGGAAAGCAGCCAAAAGGGTCTTGAGGTACTTACAGAAAACAAAGGATTACATGCTCATATATCGGAGGTCGGATCAGCTTGAGATCGTTGGATATACCGACTCTGATTTTGCTGGATGCCAAGATACTATGAAATCTACTTCAGGCTATATTTTTCTGCTAGCTGGAGGAGCTGTGTCTTGGAAGAGTGCTAAACAATCTATTATAGCCTCTTCTACTATGGCTGCAGAATTTATAGCATGTTATGAGGCGTCCAACCATGGAGTATGGCTTCAAAATTTTGTCACGGGGCTGCGTATAGTTGATGGCATTGAAAGACCACTTAAGTTATTTTGTGACAATAAATCGGCTGTCTTATACTCCAATAACAATAGGAGCTCTTCAAAGTCAAAACATATTGACATCAAGTTCCTAGTTGTTAAAGAACGTATTCAAAGTGGACAGTTGTCTATTGAACATATCGGGACAAACTCCATGATTGCGGATCCGCTTACTAAGGGGTTGCCACCCAAAACGTTTCATGAGCTTACAGCTCGTATGGGTGTAATGCCTTTAATAGATATTCAGTTTTAGTGGGAGTTTGTAATGTTCTTTGATATAGACACATTTTATGTTACTTCAGTTTTTTTTTATGGATATTTTGAGGTTATTTCTGCAGTATTTATGTTTCAGTTATTTCACACTTTGATTGATTATGGAATATAGTTGATCTCATTTAAGTTTAAGGTGGACCAAGTTGGAACAGACATGTGATGATCACATTTCATGTAGTTTCCATGCTACACATCCACATCATAATCCATGTCATTCATTTATATTGACATTGTGACCATTGATAGGTCCAGTTGCGATAAATGCAATAAAGGCCGCTTTGATCCTATGTTGATGTAATTGATGGACCGGATTGGTTAAAGATACTTTTTGGTTATGACAACAATTTTGAGCTCATAAGGTTATTTAGCAATACATAATTATAAAGTTACACATATAGCCCAAGTGGGAGATTGTTGGATCCTTAATCCAACATTGGGCTGATATGTGAAATAATTATTGTATTGTGGTTGTCAAATAAAGAAGCCCAAATAAAAGTGATCAATTAAGTTTTAAAGTTATTGGGCTTTAAAGTATCAATAGGGTGTGGGCCTTTAATGTGTAGAAACTAATGGGTTTTCTCTATTTTAATGATGGGCTAAAATAGAGATGCCCAATGTAAGTTAATAAAGGGTTGTGGTCCCTAGGTCATACGACGTATCGAAATCTATTCTCTTCTGCATCCCATCGACAGAGAGGTTACAGAGAAAACAAAAGGGTCCTCTGACAAGTACATCGATCGTATAGACCTAGAAGGCCAAATCCCCAAATCAATCACCTATGGATTCAGGTACGCTTCCGCTATTTGGTTTCGATTCTCAATTGTTCAATACGAAAGCTCCTGGATTAAAGCGATGGTTTTCGCCTAAAGTTAATTATAACAGTAACCTCATTGCCTAGTAAATAAATGGAGAATTAAATACAAAAACCAATACATGCAAATTGTTAGCTATAAACTCAATCTTTTTCAAAACAAACGTATTCTTTATTATCCACCTGCAAGATAAAATTACTAAATTATCAAATATAAACACTTAATTCAATATATAGAACAATATACAGTGTATTCTCCAATGTGATAATCTGCAACAGCAATGTGAGTTTCACAACAACGACACGTGTAGATCTCGGAATTTGGTGCATCGAAATATTTCAGATAAACTCTACCCATACATTGGGCCAATTATTATCAACCCGACCAGAATGCATGATCACAACCATAACATTGGGCCAATTATTATCGACCAATTTAACTGGAGTATTCTTCTGGAACGAGCTCATCAAGTTTGATCCATATTAGTATACAAGTGAATCGGCCCAAAATCAAAATTAAGATGATAGGCCTTCTTTAGGCCCTTTTAGATCTGCGGTGCTAATACTACATCGTTTCAGTTCAGTCGCGACATCCAATCTCCATTGCCGAAAAATTTCACGCCAACGCCCCCAATTTCTGAAATTTCTCTTCCATCATTTCGAAGAGCTTTTTGAGAAGGTAACTTTTGTTTCTTAACTAGATTTCTTGTGTAGATATATTTGTCTTATCTTTTTGTGTACGAAAATTCTAGCTTTTTTCTTATGGTTGTTTGGAAGTTTCGATTGGAAAGAAAGTGAGGCTGTATAAAAGTTGAAGCTTCAAGCTTGGAGTTGGGGGTGATTACGTTTGCGTGTCAAGATTTTTCTTCACACGCATACTCATACATATTTAGTGTTTCGCTTTGTAATGTATGGGAGATGTGGAGTTTTCAGCATGCACAGACGGTATTAGAAGTAATTACTGACTTAAGAATGTAGACGCTGAGTTTCAATCGTTGGTGAAATTAACTTGAAGATGAGTGAATCGGTTTATGTTTCCAGTGGAATGGTTACTTGTGGTGACACGTTCGTTGTTCTCTGTAACAGAGGATCAGCTCAGGACTGATGGGAAAAGCATCAAGGGACAAGCGGGTAAAGTTTTTTATTAGCTCACATTTGTTGGTTTTCACTGAGTGTAGTGAGTTGTGGGGGTAAAGTTTTTTATTAGCTCACTTTTGTTGGTTTTCAATGGGTGGTGTGTGGTGAGTTGTTGATGAATGTATTTTGTTCTGTAGGATATTTACTACAGGAAAGCCAAAGAAGAAGGATGGCGTGCACGAAGTGCCTTCAAATTGCTTCAGATTGATGAGGAATTTAACATATTTGAAGGTAAGAACAGACTAGTTGTTGGCCTTCTTCTTTTTTTCTTGGAAAAAGTTAACTTTTTTTAACTGTTATATATCTCATGTAATTTTTTATTTTTTATTTTTTTGGTTTTTTTGTGTGTTTTTTTCTTGCAATTTAAGCTGGTTCAGAAGATGAATTGTTTAGGGTGCA